AGAGCCCCCCCACACTGGCCTACACTGCTATTATTTGCTATTATTAGTGCTGCTGCTGGACTCGTTCCCTGCTACCTGTGACTACAGGCACCCTACACATTGATGCAAGCATAGGCGGAATCGTAGGTGTCGGGCATCTTTGATACTCCAGCAGAGTAGCAGCTGAGCACCTAAGTCCTTAATGTAGCTCCCTTCACAACAGCCCTGTGAGGCAGGGTAATGCTATTGTACCCATTATACAGATGGAGAGCTGAGGCCCAGAGAGCTGGGATTTGTGCAGTAGCCCAGTAGTATCTGATGGGGCTGGGAATTGAATCCAGTTCTCTCAAGTCCCAGACAGGTACCCTGACCACCGGGCAATTAACCCTTCAAAAAGCCCTCAACTTCCTTTAGGGTCCCTGCCTCTTGGTCTGATATGGCTGGTTTTCATCCATAGATTCCTGAGCACTCCACAAAGAAAGTTCCAATTCCTCAGGTGGGGAGCTTGAGATCCAGAAGGTGGGAGGGGAAAGTGACTTGCCCAAGGTCATCCGCTTATGTCAGTGGCAGAGCCAGCTGTTGACCCCCCCTCCCGTCCAGGTGTCCTGACTCTAACTTGGTGCAGAATCCTCTGCCTCTCGGATGTGAGACAGCAGGCAGGATGTGGCTTGGGTGGCTGACCAACAGGCAGCCGCAAGGTGTCTGTGGCAAGCTCACGCCCATGAACATCCGCCCAGTCCCAGTCAGCAATCTCCCCGTAGTGCTGTGCCGGTTGTACTCGATCCTGCTAAGAATAGCTCTCCACATGGGGTGAGGTTGGGAGGCCAGTGCCCCATCCCAAGTGGTGGCCTTCCCCGGGGATGTGAACTCTGGACTTGAGGCAAAAAGACCATCCAACTCCCTCCTTTTAGAGAGTCACTTCTATCTATGGGTATGTCTAGACAACATCGCTCTTTCCAAAGAGGGATTTAAATGAGACAGATCGAAATTGCAAATGAAGCCGGGATTTGAATTTCCCGCTCTTCATTTCCATAATCGCGTCACGGCGTTCTTTCGAAAACGCTATTTCGAAAGTGAAACCGCGGTCTAGACACAGTTCTTTTGAAAAGAAAAGCCTTTTTCGAAAGATCCTGTACTCCTCAAAATATGAAAGAACGCCGTGACGCGATTATGCAAATGCAGCGCGGGACATTCAAATCCCGGATTCATTTGCAATTTCAATCTGTCTAATTTACATCCCTCTTTCGAAAGAGGGCTGTAGTCTAGACAGTGTAGCTATTCTGGAGCGCCCCTGAGCTGTGCATGAGCAGTAGAGGATATTGAATTGGTGCTGCTTCATATGCAATACAGTAGCTTAAGCAAAGGCTTGCTAGGGCCCCAGAGACGTTCTTAAGTAGAACTGACCCTTCTCACGCCTTTCTCCCCTCACCCCTCTGCCGCCACGGAAGAGGTGAGAGGCATAGTAGCCTCCCCAGCTAGGCCAGGGATGATGGGAATAAACAGGCTGGGTCCCTGCTCTATTGTAGGCACAAAAGTTTTGGCGCTGTCCCAAAAGGTGAGTGCAGCGACTCTGAAGGTGGAAGGTGACGTTTCTATCGGGAGGCTCCCCCGGGCTGGGACAGGCAGCTTTCTAGTTTAAAATAACGTTGTTTCCAGCTCTGAGCTCTGCCTGTCTCCATGCACTCAGGCTGCACTTTCCTCTCCCCGTGAGCTGTGCTTGGGCTGTGCTGGCTGGTGTCCTGAGCAGGCGTCTTTTGTGGACCTGTCAGCTCATCAGGGCTTGGCACTCTTGAATGGGTTGTGCTGGGGGAGAGAGGCTGCCAATTTAGACTGGAGGAAAAATAATCGGAGGATGGTTTGCTGCTGTGGGATTTTTTTCTTTCCCTCCCTCTTCTCCTTTTTCTACGTGAGCTGTGCTTGGGCTGTGCTGGCTGGTGTCCTGAGCAGGCGTCTTTTGTGGACCTGTCAGCTCATCAGGGCTTGGCACTCTTGAATGGGTTGTGCTGGGGGAGAGAGGCTGCCAATTTAGACTGGAGGAAAAATAATCGGAGGATGGTTTGCTGCTGTGGGATTTTTTTCTTTCCCTCCCTCTTCTCCTTTTTCTACGGCTGGAAATGCCATGAAGGGAAAGGGCAGAAGCCACAGCTTTCGGATTAGTGCGTAGGGAGGATTTAGGATTACAGGCGGCCATGTGTTGCTGGGTTTGGATTGTGTGTGGTTTCCCCTGGCCGGAGACAAACAGTCTTCCTCTTCGAAACGTGCCGATGGGAGACCTCAGAAGGTTCCTCTGAGCCTTGAAAGGGAGGAAGGTTTGAAGCCAGACTTGGACAAAGCCCCAAGCGACGGCTGTGGGAGCAGAAGGAGATGGGAAGAGAATGAAGAATTTGGGCACCTGGATGGACTCGCGGCGCAAGGCCAGAGTGTTTGCGAGGGGGAGTTGTGCTGAGCAGCATCTTCTGTGTTTATTCTGACAGACATTATTATTCCTGGGTGCAGGAGACAGAGGCTGGTCCTCACATGAATGAAACTTCCAAGCAGGTTACAAATCCAGCATGCGTGAGGGATAAATTCACCTGTGCGTAAAATTGCAGTCGAAAGGGGGAAGGGTAGTGCAGACTCCCGACAGAGGAGGGCTTGTGTAATGGCATGCTGGCTTCCCAACAGCTGATGACTTTTGGAAAGGACACAAAACTGTGTTCAAGAGGTCTTTCTGTGTACCTTGAATGCATTCTTTCAAACGTTGCCTTGCCTCTGGGACCCTCGGAGCCCCTCGTGTTGCCTCTTTAAAACAGCAAACTTGGAAAACACCTTCCTAACGGCAAGATGAAAAGCCCCATCACATAGAATGACAACGGAGAGTATTTCAAAATTCAAAGTTTTGCAGCAGATGGGAAGAGTCTCAATTAAACCATGAAACTGCTGTAACAAAACAGCCTGAAGAAACATCGGACTCCTCCTTTCACTGATTAGCTTGAAGACATTTTTTTAACCTTTTTTTTTATGGTGTTGTACGGGAAATTGCACCCACAGAACATCAGCCTCTGCTGGGAGGGGGAGGGAGCAGCTGCCTGGAGCCCTTGCATACAATTCAGAGGCTCCGCTTTTGTCTCCAACATGGACACCTCCAAATCTCCCTTGCTTCAGAATAAGTTTTCGGTCGCCCGCTTGGCCGAGGAGTTTTTCTGGATTGGTGGCAGCATTGTGGCTACGCCGAAATGGAAAATGGGCCAAATTGGTAAGCCAGGGAATGTCAGAGTCCCTCCTGCTTAATTGCTCGAGATAATAGGGTCTTAAAGGCTTTCACATTTCAATCTTATTTAATGACAGCTTTGTCTAGCCATAGCTGGGGTGGGGAGAAGGCTGTTGGCACACATCCGCACAGCAGGATGCTCTTTTCTCTTTGCGTTGCTTTAGGAGCGCATGGCACCTCTCTAGTTTTGTGAAAGAGTCAATAGCATCTCAAGGATGTTTGGACTCAATTTCACTTTTACTTCCCTGACTGCTGGAATCAAATGTGTTCGCGGTAAAGCACACAGGCTTCTGAACACCCATCATTTGTGTTTGTCGTAGCTTTCCCCCGTCCCTCCAAAACATACAGTAAGTCGGTCGACGGAGCAGATTGGGTGTTAAAAAAGCCAGGTGACCTGTTCCTCCTGCCTTGTCTTTTTTCAAGCTGCCCGTTTTCAGCTCACGGAATCCTTCGCCCATGTCCATTGGAAGGGGCCCCTGGTGCCTTTTCCCAGATTCAGATCCCTGCCTGGGCTTTGAATTGTAAGTGCCGATGAGCCGTAGCCTAATCCTTTGACCTCAAGGTTGAAATTCTGCCCTGGATGAATGCTCTTGCTCGTTAGGGAATTAAAGGAGGACGTGTGGCTGGAAAGGGTCTCGTAAATGTTCTATCACATTACTGTACTGCACTGCAGCAGAGCCTCCTATTACATGGGTGCATTGTCACCTGATAACAAGTGGGTTTGCCCAGGCGTAACTGAGACTCTGTAGAAAGGGGGTTTGCCTACAGAGCCTTCTGTCATGTACAATAAAGATCCACTGCTTACAAGGAATCCTGGGTCGGGGTTTGCTTGAAAGCTGATCAGAGCTGCCTCTGCACTTGCCAGAAACACCAGGGTGAGCTGGGCACGCTGCTTCGGCATTGCCCCTGTCACCAGGGGGCTGACTGCATGCTCCAGCTGGATGCAGCAACTGTGGAATCACCAGCTTGCCCACAAATTAAGCTTTTTTCGATGTTATTGCTGGGTTTCCATTGTCTCTCCTCCCTTTAGCCTTTCTTCGTTAATGAGGGTGCACTTCAGGAATGGAGGCCATCCAGTACACTTGGCTTTGGATAGTACCACGTGTACAACCTTCCACGTGCAGGATTAAGCAGCCACAAACGCTATTTTGGGATGCTGGAGGTATCCCGAAATAGTGCCGCTGTCTAGACGTACCCTAAGAGAACAGCGACTAAATCCAATGTAGTCATAGGCTCCAATTCCGCACAGGGGGAGGCCGGTTTTACACAGCTGCAGTCCCATTGCCCTCAGAAACATTAGCTCCAATTTCCACTGGGCGGGCAGGATGCAGGGAGAGGAAGGAGGCCCATGCGTAATTCAGAACCTGGTGGGGAGGAGAATTGAGCTGGGATTGGAAATGAGACGTGAGTTAAGGAAGGCAGGAACATCAGAGCAGAAGGCTTGCGCCGCAAGGGTGAGGAATTGTGGAGAGACAAAGGAGACCCATTTATCCAGCACTGAGGGAGCAGGGAGACAGGCGTGCCAAGAGAAACCAGGCAGAAGGGAGCTGAAGACGTCGGAGGAAGGCAGTGGGTTTTTTTGGGCTGGGTCCTGTAACCAGGTTGTGCACACGGCTCTCAAGGCGGCCCTCTGGGCCTGGTGCAGCAGTGACCTGAGTCCCCACAGCTCTGCCACCGACTGTACCAGTCACTGCAACACAACCGCCCATTCTGTCGGAAATGGAATCTACCCAGCGAACCGCAGCCCGGGCATTGTGCAAAAGGAGAGTCCCCGCTCTGACTTCCCGCCGCAATGACAAGCATTTGCCCGGCATCTGTCCTCCACTTCCATTGGATCCAGAGCCTCAAAGACTCTAGGGCACAGGGGTTGCTTAAAATAACGCATCCGTGTGTCGAATAGCTGGTGTAGCGACGAATGCCTGGCCATCGCCTAGGGGCCTCTGAGGCCGGCGGCAAAAGTCAGTCTCTGCAGCCAGATCATCAAGTGTCTGTAGTAGCACAACTCGGGGCGAACTTCTATGGGGCAGGCAGGAGAGGAACGCTGGGCCCTTCCCCTGAGCGCTCTACGGTGAGTTGCCAGGAACGGGTAGCTCCCAGGAAGCCATCGTATCGCTTGTGGGCTGGCTTTTTAAGGGCCCCTGTTCTGTGGTCCTTCACTGGAACAGAATTCCCAGCCAAAGGAGACCACCAGGCTCTGAATTACACATGGGCATCCTTCCTCTCCCCTCACCCCGCCCCCCAGTGGAAATTGGCGCTAATGTCTCTGAGGGCAATGGGACTGCCGCTGTGTAAAACCAGCCTCCCCCTGTGGGGAATTGGAGCCTATGACTACATTGGATTTAGTCGCTGTTCTCTTAGGGTACGTCTAGACAGCGGCGCTATTTCAGGATACCTCTGGCATCCCGAAATAATGTTTTCCGTGTCTTAGCAGCACACCCATTATTTCAAAATGCAGTCAAAATAATGGGCTTGCTATTCCAACGTCCCAGTCAACCTCGTTCCACGAGGATTGAGGGTACGTCTACACAGCAACATTATTTCAAAATAACTTAGTCCGCATCTGCACAGCTGGAAGTTATTTCAAAATAGTGTCGAAATACTGTCACGCTGGAGGACTTCTCACTCTGACTCCTGTAACCCTCAGGGAGTAAGGGAAGTCAAAGGAAGAGCGCTCTATTTCCAAATAAGTGCAGTGCAGACATTCCTGATTTTGAAATAAGCTATTTCAAAATAAGTTATGCAATTGACAGAGCTCAAATTGTGTAGCTTATTTCGACCTACAGGTGGAGTGGAGACGCACCCTTACTGCCCACAAAACTTCCCACAATGGCACCCTCAAAATGGTACCACTTGTTAGCTGACCCCCGGGGTGACTTGCGCACTGGCTGTGTGAGGAGTTGAATAGTTCTTGGTTTGGTTTCTTCTTTTGAAGGAACAGGCTGACCCAGGAGGCATGGGCGTTAGACCATGCAGTGGCTGCTTGGGGCTGGCATGTATCACATGCTTTGAGATCCCTGAAAGGGAAATCTGACTCTTGTTAAGCTCGTGTTTTCTCTCCTTCTCTCTCTGTCTTCGCTACCCCCTGCAGGGTCCAGCTGAGCAGTTGTCAGGCAGGATACAAGAAAGAGGCACTTTGTAGGTTTCCAAGTCAGACTCTGTTAACAAAGCTGGGCTGAAAAGTTCAGCAGAGCTGTGGGATGCTGGGCATCCGACCTTCCTAGCACAGCCAGTCCCCTTCGCAAAGCTGCGTGAGGCATCTTGCAACCAGGCCACCTTCTGTTCCTGAACGTTCTGACAAACCTTATCTGAGGGGCAAAGATTCCCCTTTGCTCCCTTCCCTCTGCTTCTTTGCAGCCAGTACAGGTGTTCTCCCTTCCCCGCCCCCGAATGAAGAAGAATGCTATTGAAACAGCTCCTGAGAAAGGGAGGTCAGAGATGCATCAAGTCACAATCACAGAATTAGGGGCCTCGTCTCACATGTGGGGAGATCCTCAGGGGCGTTAGTAACGTCCTGTTATTCCCACCAAAACTCAGTGAGGGCCCATCTACACTGCACCCCAAGGTTGAAATACGATAGGCAGTTTGAGCTCCGCAAATTGTGTATCTTATTTCTACCTAAGTTCAAAACAGATTATATACGGCACCAGATTCCAAAATAAACTGCTATTCCAAAATGCCTCTTACTCCCCATGGAACGAGGGTTACAGGGACGTCAGAATAGCAAGCCCGTTATTACGAAATAGATTTTGAAATAACGGGCTGGTTCAAAAGATGTGGCATAGCTATTTCGAGAGCCCCCTGGTATCTTAAAATAGCGCCGCAGTCTAGACATACCTCTACTGCTCCTCTAGGGCTGCCACATCCTGCACCGTGGCAAGCTGAAACTTGCTTGGCAAGAGCCTTTTTCATCCCCGTTAGTGTACAGGAGTAGGGCCTGTGTCTAGTCCTCGCGCTGCTGCTGGCTGGCTTTTTGCCCTGTGGCAAACTGAGTCCTCTCTTTCTCTGCTTGGGGTTTTCAGTGTGTAAAATGGGACGGCCTCATTGGATCACAGGGGTACTGGGAAGCTGCATTAACATTTGCAGGAAAGTGCGCGGGGGTTAGTGACAGGGCAGAAAGAGCAGCTCAGGAAGCGAGCTGAGCTCTGTGCGAATATGAATATTTAGCCACCTCCTCCGTTACAGTTTAAAGATTTTTCCACCTTGGTAAATGTCCTTGGTGTAAATACCAGCATGGAGCTCCCTTCTGCACAGCTGCCTCATCTCCTCTAAAAATAATGAGTTGTCCTGTGGCACTTTAGAGACCGACACTAATATATATTATCATGAGCTTTTGTGGGCAAAAGAAGTGGAGTTTGCCCATGAAAGCTCATTGTGATTGTGTGTGTGTGTGTGTGTGTGTGTGCGTTAGTCTCTAAAGTGCAGCGGGACTACTCACTGTTTTTAAAGTTACAGGCTAACACAACTACTCCTCTGAGACTTTTTAACATCACCTCTAGACATTTGGAACTCTAGATCTTTGGAGGTGCCTAAGAAAGGCTTGTGTCTGTGTGTTTGGGCTCCCTTACCCACCCCAGAAATTCCTCTGTTCTCTCTAGCACACCCCTTCTCTGCTACTCGCAGGCCTCCTAAGCACACCCCTCCTTTCGAGTAGGAATTTGGCTCTCTCGCTTGTTCTCTTTCCCCTAAAGCATGAACGAGACACTTTCTTTGCCTGTCTATAGACACTTTCTTTGCCTGTCTTTCCCCTTTGCCTGTCTATAAAATTCAGACGGCAAAGCAAGACCGAGAAATTCCCAGGCAGGCTGAAGTGGTGCTTCAGTATGAACTCTGGGCTTGACATGCAAACAGTAATTGCATGTGTGCAGTGAGCCATCAGACGGGAGTGGTGCGTTATTTCAAATCAGAGAGAATTGCCGGCAGCATTGTGTACGGTGGGGGGATTTGGCGAGCAGTCCCGCAGAAGGAGCGAGTGACCCTCTCCGAAA